CCAGTTGCAGAAACGAGGACTGTAACTGTTATGAGTATTTCTGTGTTGTATATATACATCAAGTATTTTTGTTTTCTTTGCTTATAAGGTATAAGATATAAACAGGGCTACTGTATTTTCAGTTGTATGTGTGTTAGTTGTATCACGTTAGGCACAAGTATGACTTTATAATTGTCTTTATTCGAGATTATGTATGGTTTGGGGAGATGTGTACAGGTGCCAAGTTGACCAAGGTGGACTGTGATCATTAAAGTTGTGTGTCAATTTGGCTAGGCCATGATTCTAAGTGATTTGGCATTTGTATGATGATATGATCACTTCCATGATGAGATCTGATATAATGTGATCCCTTCCACGATGGGATCTGCTGTGAGTAGCCAGTCAGTTGTAAGGGCGTTTCCTAGGGGGTGTGACCTGCATTGAATATAAGTGGACTTTCTGGCAGGGCTTGTCGACTTTTGCTTGCTTTGGATCCTGCAGCTGGCTTCTGTTCATCTGACCTCTGGTTCTTGGGATTTGAGCTAACAGTATACCTGCCATCATGCCTGCCGATCCTGGGATTTGTCATTCTTCTCAGCCTGTTAGCAAGAGCCCTGCTGTCTGACCTGCTGATCGTGGGTTCCCCAGCCCTTGCTGCTATAAGAATCAGGAGAAGCCTCCAGGCTGACCCAAGGACTTGGGACATTCCAGCTTCTACAATCACTTGAGCCATTTTCTTGATATAAATCTCTCTCTCTATATATTTATATGCTTTACTGGCTTTTTTTCTCTAGACAAGCCAGCCTAAAACATGCACCAAGTTTCATGAAGATATCCTCCTGTATTTTCTTCTACTACTCTTTTGGTTCTGCTTTTTATGTTTATATTCTTAATTTATTTTTGTGAATGGTATAAGTTGGGAACCATAATTTTAATATTTTTGTAGTTAATAATTTTTGCTTTGAAAACCTGGAGCATGGTATATTTCTATAATACAACTATAGAGGAGTAATCCATATGTAAGGAGATCTGTGTTCTGTCAGTCCATTTATCTGGTTCTTCAATGGTTTATTCATTTGTACATCAGTGATTCATTGAACAACTACTATTGCAAGACACTGTGCTTGGTATTGCAATACCATGTCTTAAAATGCTGTGTTGACAGTTTTGAGGCGCTGGCTGGAGGCCAGTTGTCCCTTTCTTAAGGAGCTGTTTAAGTCCACTCTCCACTCCCTTTATCAGGTTCTCATGCTCCTGGGCCACAATGGAATTGTTCTAATTGCCCCAGGGCTAAAAGCCCAACAATTAGGGACAGCTTGTATGCCCCCTGAGCTTGCAGAATTATTCAAAATGCCCAGACTCAGAAGCCCACAAAACCTAGTTTACTCCACTGTGTTTGCCATACATAAGTCCCCTCCTACAACTCCAGCTTGTTGTAAACTTGTCCCTAGGTGTGACCCCCTGTGTGGCCCTGCATCATGGCATACTGTGCCTCCCTGACTCTGGGAACTGAGTTTAATGAACCTAGTACTTTCCATGGCCTTCTAATTCCTCATTCTTGAATCACACCTCAGTTACCATCCCATGAATCTATTAGAGAAAAATAGGGAATACAGTGGAGAACAAGAAAGATATAATATCTAGCCTCATGGAGCTAACTTTCATGTGCGGGGTGTGTGTGTGTGTGTGTGTGTGTATGGCATGAAGAATTTGGGAGGAAGGAAACTGAGTTGAAATAATTCGCACAATAAATTCGCTATGGTTGTGATAAGTTCTACAAAGGAGAAGTACAGGGTGCTATGAGAGCTTATAACTGGAGGTCCTAATCCTGGTGGTGGTGGTGGTAGACAGGTGGTTAGGGAAAACTTTCTTAAGTAGTAACATATGTGCTGAGTTTTGAAGAATGACTAGGAATTTACTTAACAGAATTAGATTGGGATAAGGGATGGGAGGTAGAATGGGTAGGAAAGAATACTTCAGGTAATGGGAAATAGCATATACTAGGGCCTTGAGATGGGAAAGAACTAGGGATTAGAGAAGCTGAGAGAAGACTATTGTGGTTGAGGTCAGAGAGCGACAGAGATAGTGTGAAACAGGCCTGATATTGTGGATAGAGAGCAGAACCGATAGACCAAGGATCAAATTAAGCATTATCAGCTAAAGTTAGTGGGAAGCCATAGAAGGATTTTTAATTAATTAATTGAAATGATTAGATATACGTTTTTATAAGATCCTTCTGGCCACTGATAAGAATGGAGGCGTCAAAGAGTGTATGTGCCGAGGTCATTTAGGAAGCTATTATTGTAGGTCACATGAGAGATGGACTAAAGCGGTAGTGGAGATGGAGGGAATTGGGTTGTTATTTCTTTAACACTATTTCAGGATTCCAATTGTAAAAATTGGAATTCAGGAAACCCTGGCGGCGTAGTGTTTAAGAGCTACGGCTGCTAACCAAAAGGCTGGCAGTTCAAATCCACTAAGCACTCTCTGGAAACTCTGTGGCGCAGTTCTCCTCTGTTCTGTAGGATCTCCATGAGTCGGAATTAACTCGATGGCAATGGAGTTTAACAGGTATTTCACGAAGAGCAAAAAACTAATTGTTAGGAAAATGGTTAGTTCTGCATTTAGAATAACCAAACCCAAACCCATTGCCATCGAGTTGATTCTGACTTATAGCAACCCCACAGGACAGAGTAAAACTGCCCCACAGGGTTTCCAAGGCTGTAAATCTTTACAGAAGCAGATCGCCACATTTTTCTCCCATGAACCCACTTTTCAGTGGATTCAAACTGCTGAACTTTTGGTTGGCAGCCGAGCACTTTAACCATGGCTCCACCAAGACTCCTGGCACTTAGGATAGAGAGAGGTTATTTTCCCAAAATCAAAGAAGCAGCAGAGATAATTAGTTAAGTGAGCCCAGCTGAAAGTATGTGTAGGCATTCCCCACTCCTAGCTGTTTAATCCGATTCTAGCTGAATACCAGGTATAGAAAGTAGACAGTTCTGAAAGACATATATATAAATGGAATTTTTACAATTGGAATCATTTTAAATTTGCAAGGAGATTTTGTAATTTAAAGGGACCTGGTGCTGAGTTGCTTGGTTCAGCACTAGATACTTTGGTAAATATGTGATTATCCTATATTTGTCTGTATTGTATTTCAGATTTTCTTGTATTGGATTTTTAAAATGTTTACCCCAATTTAGTTGGGTATTTGTAAATATCATGTAGTGATATTCTGATATCCTGATACTGAGCTGACTTTAGAGACACACCTTGGGTGTTTCCTATCTAGCAGGAAACCTTTGTTAGAGGCACATTGAGAGAAATGGTTCTGTGTTGGATAAGCTTGGGGAAGGTCGTATACTCTATCCTCCTCTTGGAGATTTACAATGCACACAGAGATCATTAAAGCTAAGAGAGCAAAGTGGAACTTATTACTTGCCATGTAAGGGATAACTGCATTGTCGAAATCTGAGTCTAGTTCTGAGTGGAAGTCTTTTTGAGTCAAAAGGAGAAGGGCTAGATGTAAGATAAGAGGAAGTTTTGCCCAAATCAGGCAGGATCCTGAAGGCCATTATTTGTTGATTGGGTCAGGAGAGGACTGTAAGATCTTCTTTTGGAATAGCCATTGTTGTGGTTTACATCAGTAATTATGGGCATAGTTCTTAAGGAAGTCCAAGATGGGTTGCATAAAGTTCTGTTAGGTTCAAGGTCATATAGCAGGCACTTTCATATTGTCTTAGTTAGGGTTCTTTGGAGAAGCAGAACTGGTGATATATAAAGTATAGGTATAAATATAAGTAAAGTGTATACACCCACTCCTTATTTATCAACATGGTTAAGTTCCAACAGATAATTATGCAAAAACTGATATTATGTGAAAATGGAGGGTGACCACATCAGATCACAAAATGGAGGATGACTACTTCATTACATAATGGCCAAATTATGTCATTACATAACTGTCAAATTACATCACTACATAACTGCCAAACCACTGAGAATCATGGCCAGGCCAATTTGACACATAACCTTAATCATCACAGCCAGTGTTATTCTCGTCTCACACCTCAACATTTGTAACTGCCAGACATACATCATTAATACACAAGTAGATTTTTTACTATTGTTGTAAAAGTGAAGTGTTGGCTAACGAGATAGTGGATAAGTGAGGAATAAAAGCAAACCAAACCTGTTGCTGTTGAGTCCATTCCAACTCAAAGCAACCCTATAGCGACCCTATAGGGTCCCTTTGACAGTGGGACTGTCCCATAGGGTTTCCAGGGAGTGGCTGGTGGATCTGAACTGCCGATCTTTTGGTTAGTAGCCAAGCTCTTAACCACTGCACCGCCAGGGCTCCATAGGTATGTACAGATATACAAGATCCGTTCATCAGGCTACAGGCTGGAGACTCTTGTAGTCTTGTGTCCCAAAATGCGTAGATCAGGTGATAAGAGGAGTGTTCTGGAAAAAATGTCGGGGGCAGAACACGCCCTAGAGAAACTCCTTTTTGATCCTAAGTTCTTCGACTGATTGAATGAGGCCCACTGACATTATGGAAGTTAATCTGCTTTACTTAAGGCCAACTGATTTAATCACATATAATTTCTTTATAAGAGCAACTAGACTAATGTTTTACCAAACAAAAGTTTACATAAAATTATCCATCATACATATGCATAAGCTTGTGATTTGGAATTTTTTTTATTCAACATAGCTTTAAAGTTCCCAAGAAGTTCTGTAGTGAAAGAACCTGCTTAACATTGTCTAAGTTTGAATAGTAGACCCTGTTGTTAATAACTAATATCCTGAGGAACACATCATGAAAATATTGCTTTACTGAAAAGTGTACATTTTCAGGAACAAATTAACTCAAGAACTCAATATCAAGCCAGGATTTGGCTCAGATCTAGCTATGAGCTCAGTCTTGTCATTCAAGATACTGATAGTAGAAAAATAATATCTAGGGATCTGAGCGGATGGTTGTTAATAATATTGTTTGGATGGGCCCTTGTATGTTTCCTTCTTTCTTGGAGAAAGGTGGACTATATACATTTTGGAAAGACATTTGGACTCTAGAAACCCAATAAACAGCAGGGTGCAATGTGAAGTCTCAAGCTCTGTCATGTTTCTGTAGCCAGGGCTCCTTTTCCTCAAAACAGCTTTCTGGCTTTTCCTGGCACTGGAGCTAGACAAAAGACCCCTTGGTGTCTTTGGACCTTGGTGATTCAAACTGGTGAAGAAAATTGGATCTGATGCATGGCTCCGCAGATGTTTTCCTGCAACTCCCATCACTCTTGATGCTCAGGTGTTAGGAACATCAGTGTAGGACTTGGATACGCTTCTCTAACTCTGGCATTTCCAGCTGCTAGAACTGATTCTCTGGTAGACTTACAATGCTCCTTAAGTGCTACAACTCAAACTATGGACTGTGTTGCACATTATTCTCTTGAGGACAAGCCCTTGAACAAGCGGTTACCTTCCTTATGGCTCCATTCACCTCCTTATTCTAATTGTATAAATAAAGGGATTCAGAAGAGGGGTGAGGATAGTATTTAGCACAGATGCTATTATTAATCTTAAAAGAGGAGTGCATTGTGGCTTTCAGGTACCTGAACAGAACAGCTCCGTAGAGCAGGGAGACAACCATCAGGTGAGAGGTACAGGTAGAGAAAGACTTCTGGCGGCCAGTGGCTGAAGAAATCCGTAGGAGGGTGGACATATGTAGATATAAGAAATCATTGTTAAGAGGACTGACCCTGGGATCACCAAGCTGGTTGCCAGGAGATCCAGGAGCTCCAAAAGTGTGGTGTCAGTACAGGCTGCTTTCAAGATTGGACCAACATCACAGTAGAAATGATTGATGATGTTGTTGCCACAGAATGGCAGCTGAATGAGTGGCAGTGTCTGACAGAAGATAATGGTGAAGCCTGCTACCCAGGAGCTGAAGGCCAGCCGCAGGCAGAGGTTGCTGGTCATGATGGTGGGGTAGCGAAGGGGCTTGCAGATGGCCATGTAGCGGTTGAAAGACATGGCAGTGAGAATGAGGAACTCGGTAGTGCCCAGGAAGAAGTGGAAGAAGGCCTGCAGGAGGCAGCAGGGAATGCAAATGACTGTTGTTGCCACTACAAAGGTTTCTAGCAGTTTGGGGATAACCGTGGTGGTGTACCAGATCTCAAGGAAGGACAAGTTGCAAAGGAAGAAATACATTGGCATTTGTAGCCTGGGCTCTGCCCAGACAATGACAATAATGAGCCCATTGCCTGCAAGGGTTAATATGTAGATGAGAAAGATCACTGTAAAGAGAGGGATCTGTATGTATGGGAATAGACTCTGTGATTGTTGTGCCATTTCTCATGTCCCTTGATATTCTAGAAAAACAGAAAAAGAAAGGAGCACCTCAGAACTTTTACAACACGCTTGAATATAGTTCTGACACAAAAAGGGAGGATTCTGGGTCCTTCAGGACTCCCACCCACATGGACACATACACATACACACACACATACACACACAACTCCACTTTCTTACTGATGATTTGGTTTGCTCCTTTGTCAGCTAAAGTGACTTTTAACGGACTTTGAAAGTATTAAGTACCCTTGAATAATGGAATAGTATTTTTTTTTTTACCTTTATACAGCTACAAGAAAAATCAGTTTAAATGTAGTGGTTTATCTGTCAATAATCCAGATTTTTTTTTAAATGAACAGTTTTATATAATGACATGCATACATAAACAGTTTTATCTAATGACGTGTACATAAACATAAAAAGTTAACCTCCGCTCCCATGTTATGTTCTGAAAGAGAATTCTTGACTTTTATATTATAGATATGTTTAAGAAAGCTGATTATAACCTATATATTTATATAACTAAAACCCATTGCCATTATATTAGTGGTGAGATACAACTTAGAATAGATTTTTTTAAATAAGAATCTACTCCCAAATTGTACTTCAGGCACATTTTTTTAAAGGAGACTCAAAAATATTCAAAATTAAATGAATAAAACTTAGTAAGTAGAGAAATACAGTAAACTTTAATGCAAAATTCCAAGATTAGCTGAATCAGGACCTGGTAAAATTACTGGTTGTTGTCACATTAACTCTGACTCATGGTGACCCCATGTTATGTTAGAGTAAAACTGCTCCATAGGGTTTTTCTTGGCTGATTTTTTGGAAGTAGATTGCCAGGCCTTTCTTCTGAGGCATCTCTGGGTAGACTCAAACTTCCAACTTTTTTGTGAGTAGCTGAGTGTGTTAACCATTTATATTATTCAGGAACTCCTCTGGTATATAGTAAGTACCTAATAAAGTTTTGTTGAATAAAGACCTGTAGATGCCAATCTAAAAAAGTGAAAAGAGTAGTAAATGCTAAGGATAACAAATTGGGAATTCTGGAAAGTATATTCCTACCAAAACTTTCTTTTGTGGTTTTGTATCTTTTCCTACCAAGTAAAGTATTCTATTTGTATATGAAATTCATAGGCTGAGAACTTTCTTTCTGTTATACTAATATTCACTAGAAAATAGTAAAGCTCCTTTTTCTTTTATTTAGGGTATTTTTCCATATGGTTTTGCATTAACATGGGTAAGGTAAATTACTGTGAAATGAATTGCACAATTTTCAAAGTACACACACAGGACATGTTGCATGAAAGAGGCAGCTGACAGTTCATTGATAGGTTGCTTAATTCTTCCCCCCGCAAAGAGTAAACACTAATTCTCTGAGTGCTTACGGGAGAAATTACGTCTATTTCCTCCTACCTCTTTTCTAGACCAGGAGAGGATTATTCTTTGTCTATAATGCCACAAGCCCCAGAAAACTAAAAAGACAGATAGCATTTGAACTTGTACTAACGACCAATATAACTGGTGGAAAGCCTGGTCTCTCTGTATAGGGTAGATCGGCAATTATCTTCATTTCCCACACAGAGAATGGCAGTTTTTCCAGCCCAATTTGCAAGGGCTAAACAGCCCACAATTTGGAGAATTAGACCTATTAATTCCGTACGCATTTGTTGAGAGCTTGCTTGTTACAAGTCCTGTTAGACACTTAAGGAGTTTGTGGACAGGGTGAGAGGCCGTATATAATAATTACAACATAGCCTATAAGTGAAAGTGTGGTGTTGTGCACAGATTGTGTTGGGAGCACACAGGAGAGGCCCCTTACCTAGTCTGGGTAGGGGTTAAAGGAAGGTTTTTAGAGAAGGAGGTGCTAAGCTGAATCTTGTTGTTACCTGCCGTGGAGTTGGCGCCCTGCTCATGGGAACACCATGCACAGTGCCACTGAAACCTGTTCAGGATCATAGCTAACACACAAGCCTCCACTGACAGATGGGTAGTGGCTGCACGTAAGGTGCATTGGCCGGGAACTGAACCTGAGTCTCCCGCATGGAAAGTGAAAATTCTACCACGGAACCACCACTGCCCTCAAATGCTCAGTCCTAGAGAAGTTAAATAGGAAGGTGTGGTGGGGAAGGGAAAATGCACTCCAGACAAGGATGCAGTGTTTGTGGGAATGGAGCTGAAGCTGGGATTAGGGCTTGTCCTGGCACGTCTGACAACCTCACAGGTGGGGCAGGCCTCCTGAGAGTCAGCTGAACTTGATGGATTCTCAATGTTTTTGGCAGGGGGAATCTTGAATGAGGGAGTCGCTAACATGGGCAAATGTGTGTGTGTTTGCATGTGTCTGAATGTGTGTATGTGGGGACAGCATGGTGTCCTTGATGCATGCTTTATGCTGAATGAGCTCTCTTGAGATCCTGGTCACAGACAGCACTACTGTGCTATCTAGGTGACAAAGTGGGGCACACAGAGGGAGAGACATATTCTCTCTTGTAAGGAACCTGCCTGGGTTTGCATCAGGAGGCCCCAGGAGCAGCAGCAGCAGTGTCAGCAGAAATGGTGCCAGCAGAAGTGGCAGTACCAGGCGAGAGCAGTGGCTCCCAGCGAAGTAGCAGCAGTGTCCAGCAGAAAGATGCATAACAGGAGACGAGACAGGAACCAGGGGCAGCTGCCTGGACAGCCAGTTGGACTGGGCTGTGAGTACACATGAAGTTTTGTGAGAGTTTGAGGGAGCTTAGAGGTCTTGAGTTAACAGGATAGCAATATTCAGAGAAACACAGGAAAGTAACCTTAGGAAACTAAACCCCATTGCTGTGGAGTCGATTCTGACTCATAGCGACCCTATAGGATAAAGTAGAACTCCCCCATAGGGTTTCCAAGGAGCAGCTGGTGGATTTGAACTGCTGACTTTTCGGTTAGCAGCTGAACTCTTAACCACTACTAAAGTTATACAGAATTTAAAATGCTGAACTAAACACTGCAGTCTATATGCTTATTAAAATTTAGTTATATACTCTTGACTATTTGCTTTAGTAAAGTGTCAATGCATAGGGTCACATGATATTTCTCCTTATTTCCCCATATTAATTACTCACCAAAACAAACAAGACCAGTTACTGTTGAGTTGATTCCTATGCATGTCAAACTCGTGTGTCAAAGTAGAAATGTGCTTTATAGGGTTATCAGTGACTGATTTTCCAGAAGTAGATCACCAAACCTTTTTTTCCGAGATGTCTCTTGGTGTATTTGAACCGCCAACCTTTCTGTTAGTAGCTGAGTGCTTAACTGTTTGCACTACCCAGAGATAACTCAATTAGTGACCAAGTCTTATTAATTTTACCCCCTTAGCTGAGGTAAATTCCAATCTGTTCCTTTCTTTCCAGGTTTTCTGAGGCTACTTTAGTTCATGTAGTCATCTTTCACCAGGATTAAAGTACAACCTCCTAACTGGACTTCTGTCTCCTGACCTGCCACACTCTTTTCTAGCCATGTTTCAAGCTGTTGCATGGGTGATCATTTTAAAACACAATTCTGACATGTCATTCCTTAGAACCTTGAGGGTAATATCCGAACTCCTTAGCTTGACATTCAAAGCCATTGATGACCTGGTCTTAACTACCTTTGCTGTTTGATCTTTTGCCATTTTGTTCTTCCTTCCACATTCTGTACTCCATTATTGGATTACTTTAGTTCAGAGGTCAGCACACTACTGCCCCTGCCTGTATTTGTATCTTCTTGGGGGCTATCGTAAATGGTATTGATTTGGTGATTTCCTCTTCAGGGTTCTCTTTGTTGGTGTAAAGGAATCCAACTGATTTTTGTATGTTTATCTTGTATCCTGAAACTTTGCTGAACTAGTTCCAGTAGTTTTCTTGTGGATTCCTTGGGGTTTTCTGTGTATAAGATCATATCATCTGCAAATAGAGTTACTTTAACTTCTTCCCTACCTATTTGGATGCCCTTTATTTCTTTTTCTAGCCTAACTTCTCTGGCTAGGACCTCCAGCACAATGTTGAATAATAGTGGTGATAAAGGGCATCCTTGTCTGGTTCCT